CCCCAAAACCCCAAAACCCCAAAACCCCAAAACCCCTTAAAAATCACTTTGTGTTGAACAAATAAAATATATTAATGGAAAATCGTGAGCGGATTCATAAGAAATTTCAAACTCCCACTTTACAAGATGAGGGAGGCAAGGAAGAGAAAGTTGATTTGATATCGGACTTAATAAAATTCGTTGCAGAATTAAACGACAAACGGTATGAAGGAGATACAATTCTGACCACTTTCAAAAGAGTAATGTCTTCTACCTTCATCGACCGGTACGAATATGATAAGGCAATGGATAATGCCTTTACTAAACACTCCTTCGATCCTTTCCAGAGAACTCTTGATCGTATAAATTCTACTGTCGATACATTGGATGTGAAAATGAATAAGATAGAGGTCTTATTTGATGACCTTCAGAAAGATGTTCGAAACCTTCAGTTCGAAGTCACTCGTAAATCAGAGAAAACTGAGCTAAAAGAGCTTAAAGACCATGTTGCCAAACTTCCTAGGGTTGAAGAGATAAAAACTATCAGAGCTAGACTATCTAAAACTGCTTCTCTTGAGGACTTCTATGATGTCAAGAGTAGGATCACTGTAGTGAATGAGAAGATGGATAGCTTCATGACCAAGGAGTACCTAAATAAGACCTTCTTCAATCTTAAATAAAGATCTTGACATTAAGATACTACAATTTATATCAAAGAAAGATGTTCTGGAAATTATTGATAGAATGACTCTTAAATTGAAAAATCATATGAAAATCATGGATGCTGAGGTTAAAAAGATCCCAAATCTTTTTCATAATATCGAAAACCTGAAGGGCCACCTTAGGAACACAGTTCTTAGCAAAGACTTTATGGAAGAAAAACTGAAAATTGATGAATTCGTTGAAGAAACAAAGACAAATTGCCTCCTAAGACCAGTAATTTTATATTAAACTTTAGCATTTGGATTCTCATAAAGCAGAAATACACACTTTCGTTCAAAAATGAAATGACACTCTGATTGGGTATCAGAAAGATAATGAGCAAGCTAAGAAGATTCTAAGAGGATTTGATGAAGTCTTACTCGAAAAAGCATCCAAATTCAGTATTAATGATTTACAGTCTAAGCTTCAACAACTTGCTAATAAGGAGGAAATGAACGACCTTAAGCAATACTTCAACTTCAAATTTGAAGAAACCAGAGTGATCATTGATAAACTAAAGGACATTGTTGATGAGAACCAAAATGATGTTGTTGGCATTATTGGTAAAGAAACTGAGTCTATTCAGAAAGATCTCAAAGATAAAATCAAAGAGTATCTGTTATCAAAAACAATATCCCCTGAAGAAGTCAGGACTCTTTTGGTTAACAAAGCTGATAAGAATGAAATAGTTGAAGTAAAGACTTTGAAAGCTGATAAAGCAGAGATAGAGAATGGAGAGGAGAAATACAAATTGTTCTCAAAACAACTACAACACCTTGCAGTTTTGGTGATTGAATTAGCAAAGATAGCTAATTTAGACTTGGATATGAACAGCCCCTTGCTTGGAAATGCCAAGTATTTATTAAAGCAGTCTTGCAAAGTATTTGAATGGATTAAATGATACCCTCATTTCTCTATAAAAGGTAACTTTGCACTTGGACTAAAATTTGACAATGGAATAATGGTACTTTAGATCAAAACTTTCTGGACAAAGGGACATATGATCCAAGTGAAACTTTCGCTCCAGTAAGATAAAACTATTCAATTTTTCTCAAAACAAAAAAGGACATGCATCTCAATCATTTTCATAAAAATTATCCTAAGCATCGAAAGGCTGAATATTTTAGAAAAGTTCGAATACTGAAAATCCATTGTAAATATCGTTTTAAATCTAGAGCATATAAATCACTCAAAACCGACTGCATATAATCTTTGATTTAGATTGCCACAAATCGAACACAGAAGAGCATAGGGAACAGCCCTAAAGGAAATGATCGATTGAGTACTTTCAGGTCTGGCTCTGAACAAAGATACGAAGACAGAAACCTCTTTGGTATGGTTGACCACCCAGTAATCAAAGCTAAACGACAGATGGTTCGCAGACAGAAGAGAAAGAATTCTAAAGAATTTCTTAACTTGAGTCAGCTAAAACTCAACCTGGGACAAACCGTTTGCTCTAAAAGAAGTGAAAGTGTCAACTCTAGAAAAATTCCTTCTATTAATATCAAGGAGCCCACTAAAAAATTTAACCTTAAAAAATTATCAGAGAGTGCTGGAGAGAGCCAGCAAGAGATCTTGAAGAGTTTTTCACACTTGAAGAGAAGTCTGAAGAACGAACTCGGCATTTAGAGTTTTATATAATAGTATTGATCTCTCAATTTGGCTTTAACCACAGGGGTTTTGGGGTTTTGGGGTTTTGGGG